GGGGAACTCTGCAAAAAACGCATCTTCGCACGGGCAGCCCGTGCGTTGGCCATTTATTTTTTTCTGATAAGTTGGGTTTTAGGTGGAATGTGCCGAAGGCGCGCGTTATGGAGTTGGCTATTGCAGTGACCATTATTACACGTGCGTGAATGGCAGATTTGTCATGGCAAAATGTCCATCTGGAGACTCGTTTGATGCAGCGCGCGGTATTTGTGCGAACAAGTGCGATTTGTGCGGTTGTGCAGGCGGTGACGATCAGGCTACCATGCCTGCATGCTATCCTGGCGAAGTAATCTCGCGAGGGACATGCCTGGACACGTATTTGGAATGCACCAAGCAACACACATTCGAAATTAGGCGTTGTTCTGAGGTACATTTCGTTATCCGCATTCTGGACTGATTTGTTTTTGGATTTAGAAGCCACATTTATAGCCTTTTTTAAGCTTCTTCCTGAGTTGCTACGTATGTGCAGTTTTGTTTTATTAGTTTCTTTGTAATCTTGTTCAGGAGAAACGTTTCGATTCAGTGTTACTGATGTGTAAGATTTATAATCAAGTTGCGGAATGTTTTATTGAAAAAGGTGCTGGAGATGGCGCGACTGCCGGTGTAGTGCCTTCGCCGCCTTGGCCACAGTTTGTGAGCGATCTTTTTTCGAGCTTCAAATCCGTCTTCTGGACAGATCATCGTTTTAGTGTTTCAATAATATCATTTTCAGCATGTGGACGATTCTTTTCAGCCTCCATCCGCACCGCCTGTTGGCTTGCAAAGTATTTTCGTAAATCCAGCTGAAGAATCTGGACTAAATTTTAGCCCTCACTATGATCAAACACCTCACTCAGAGCAACTAATCGCACTACCCTTTACTACGGGCCACGGTAAGATTTATATTTTACTGACTACTAAAGGTATAAGATTTCATAAGCCGTCGCAAAGCTAGCGCATTATGCAAAACCTAATACCTGTTTTATCACAGAGCGCATGTTAATACGAAAATAAACTTCCAGAAACATTCCGTGATCGGGGCACTTGCAGCAACTTGGCCCAAGGTTGAGTTTAGCGCTGTTTCGCATTTCATTAGTTAGACTTTTATTATCAGGAGGCTTTTGTTATCTCTGTCTTCCCCGTACAGCAGCAGTATGACTCGGTGAAGTGGGTGTCGAAGGCGCAGGTAAACCTTGAAGCAGTAGATGGCCTAACTGCGCACACCAATAGCGAAAGTAGGGGAGAGTGACGCTGGAGCACTTTGGTAAGTTTTCAAATCAAAAAAATACCAGAGATTTTTCCTTTTAGATGCTAGTGTACTTCTGGGTGCCATACAGGGTGCGCCGTTGGGTAATGTATTTGTGCCGCAATCGGCGCCAGTGGGGCCAGTAATGAGCGCTTTTGGAAGTGCTACCGGGCCAGTAGAACATATCAAGGATACTTTTCACGCGATTCCAGCTCCACTTGGAAGTGTGTCATTCAGTGTAGGTGGTACGAACTATCTGGTAATGAATAATTGATTAACTAATTATTTGTTCGCATGTATCCATCTGTTTTGTTAACGTATAGTTGATTATAATTGGGCGTAATTAAACACAAATAGGCAAGTGCTGACTAACTGTTACAAGTATTTGCTTAGTATTGGGCGTAAGAACTATGCAGTGAAATGAAAATATTATATTAATAGACAAAGGCACGTGATATTTAGCCTAAAAACGCTAAAACTAACAATGTGGCGAGAAGTTGAACTGGAAACTCAGGAGCTGCATCCATAAGGCTAAAATTTTGCGTCACAGGGTGCTCTAATAATATAGTCAAATGGATCGTAACAATACTGAAGAAGAGGATCTGGCTAGAAAAATGTTTTGACGAAATCCTTTTTCCTGAAATTTGCTGTTCGTGCTGCAGCTTTTAATGAAAGAACATCTAAACACTCTTTACGTGCTGCATGTGAGTTTGTTTTCACAGTTGCAAGATCTATGGTTTTGTTTAAGTATGGTACTGTTGCTTATTTTGATGTAATTCTCGAAAATGGACAGCGATCGAAACAAAGCGTTGCGACTGATGGGTTTGCAGGACTTGCCAATAGCGGGTGTTGTAGTTGATCAGTTCCAGCCACCGAACAGGCCTCCTTATCCGCTTCCGCAGTATCCTGTACCACTTTCACCTCTAGTCCATACGTAAGCATTTTCGGCTTTTCGCATCTCGGAAAAAAATCCGTCATTGTCCTGAACAATTTTTTTCCTCTTTCTGATGCAGGTAAATACATCTTGCAGGTCGGATCCATCTGTGGCACTGCCTCCGGATGCTGCTGGTTCTGCTGAGAATTCTACAAAAGCTTCACAAGATGTGGAAGAAGGTAGCTGCTTTTTGACTTTTTTTATGCGTTTTTTGCATCTGTGCAGTGCAAAAATGCATATTGTCGAGGGGTTGTCTGTGTGTTTGTGTATGTCCGTGTGTACACCCGTATCGAGTTTTGATCTCGGGACCTACAAAAGCTGAAAGGCTGAAACTTTGGCAATTTAATATATACCTATGTAAAGTCAGTTCCCATCCTCAGAATATGCGCTCATGTCATGTAGTTTTCACATACGGACACCTGAAAGAATTTTTGGCGGGAAGACGATTTTAGGAGCCACGCGAACTGGAAGGCTGAAACTTCACGAAGATGTTCCTTGCCCACGTCCAACCCAGGGATTTTAAATTCAGCCCTCACGCGCCCTTAGGCCTTACGTACTTACACGTCAAAATTTAAATTGACGTCGTACTGAAAATTAAGCTGACCAGGAGGTTGTAGAGAGCTGTAACTATGCAGCGTTGCTTGTAGTCCACTGTTTTACCCATGAACATAAATTGAGCTTTCCAGCCCCTTTGCATCTCGCGTACGAACATGTGAAGTTTGACGTAGACAATTTTGCGACTTCAAAACTGATGCAGCTGGATGGCCAAAACTTTTTGAGCGCGACCGATGGCATGAGTGGCCAGTGGACGTGAAAACAATTCTTGCGTTGCCTTCATC